GTTTTCTATAAATACTGCGATCTGTGACATTATAAATTGGTGTATAGGTAGATATAACACTAATCTATAGATTTAATCACATTTGAAGATACATCTGTGTGTTTAAGTTGATTTTGACCGCCCGGGCCAAGTCGGACCCAACACAAGCCAAACACTTCTGATAGAGACTATGCTGAGAATGTAGAGGGAAAAGGGCTTCACTTTCGAGCCCCTTGTTGTCTATAAATACTGCAATCTGTGACATTATAAAGTGGTGTATAAGTAGATATAATACTAATCTATAGATTTAATCACATTTGAAGATACATCTGTGAGGTTTAAGTTGATTTTAACAGCCCGGGCCAGGTCGGACCGAACATTTCTGACTTGGATTTTTTAAAGAAAATACAGTAAAAATGCTTCACTTTAAGGGCGCAGATTTCTTTAAATGCGACGCACCTGGACATTATAAATTTGTGTATAGGTAGATATAACACTAATCTATAGATTTAATCACATTTGAAGTTACATCTGTGTGTTTAAAGTTGATTTTGACCGCCCGGGCCAAGTCGGACCCAACACAAGCCAAACACTTCTGATAGAGACTATGTTGAGAATGTAGAGGGAAAAGGGCTTCACTTTCGAGCCCCTTGTTGTCTATAAATACTGCAATCTGTGACATTATAAAGTGGTGTATAAGTAGATAAAACTAATCTACAGATGTGAATCCATTTGATGATACATCTGTGAGGTTTAAGTTGATTTTAACAGCCCGGGCCAGGTCGGACCGAACATTTCTGACTTGGATTTTTTAAAGAAAATACAGTAAAAATGCTTCACTTTAAGGGCGCAGATTTCTTTAAATGCGATACACCTGGACATTATAAATTGGTGTATAGGTAGATATAATACTAATCTATAGATTTAATCACATTTGAAGTTACATCTGTGTGTTTAAAGTTGATTTTGACCGCCCGGGCCAAGTCGGACCCAACACAAGCCAAACACTTCTGATAGAGACTATGTTGAGAATGTAGAGGGGAAAAGGGCTTCACTTTAAGCCCCATGTCTTCTATAAATACTGCGATCTGTGACATTATAAATTGGTGTATAGGTAGATATAACACTAATCTATAGATTTAATCACATTTGAAGATACATCTGTGTGTTTAAAGTTGATTTTGACCGCCCGGGCCAAGTCGGACCCAACACAAGCCAAACACTTCTGATAGAGACTATGTTGAGAATGTAGAGGGAAAAGGGCTTCACTTTCGAGCCCCTTGTTGTCTATAAATACTGCAATCTGTGACATTATAAAGTGGTGTATAAGTAGATATAATACTAATCTATAGATTTAATCACATTTGAAGATACATCTGTGAGGTTTAAGTTGATTTTAACAGCCCAGGCCAGGTCGAACCGAACATTTCTGAATTGGATTTTTTTAAGAAAATACAGTAAAAATGCTTCACTTTAAGGGCGCAGATTTCTTTAAATGCGATACACCTGGACATTATAAATTGTTGTATAGGTAGATATAACACTAATCTATAGATTTAGTCACATTTGAAGATACATCTGTGTGTTTAAAGTTGATTTTGACCGCCCGGGCCAAGTCGGACCCAACACAAGCCAAACACTTCTGATAGAGACTATGTTGAGAATGTAGAGGGAAAAGGGCTTCACTTTCGAGCCCCTTGTTGTCTATAAATACTGCAATCTGTGACATTATAAAGTGGTGTATAGGTAGATATAATACTAATCTATAGATGTGAATCCATGTGATGATACATCTGTGAGGTTTAAGTTGATTTTAACAGCCCGGGCCAGGTCGGACCGAACATTTCTGACTTGGATTTTGTAAAGAAAATACAGTAAAAATGCTTCACTATAAGGGCGCAGATTTCTTTAAATGCGATACACCTGGACATTATAAATTGGTGTATAGGTAGATATAACACTAATCTATAGATTTAATCACATTTGAAGTTACATCTGTGTGTTTAAAGTTGATTTTGACCGCCCGGGCCAAGTCGGACCCAACACAAGCCAAACACTTCTGATAGAGACTATGTTGAGAATGTAGAGGGAAAAGGGCTTCACTTTCGAGCCCCTTGTTGTCTATAAATACTGCAATCTGTGACATTATAAAGTGGTGTATAGGTAGATATAATACTAATCTATAGATGTGAATCCACTTGATGATACATCTGTGAGGTTTAAGTTGATTTTAACAGCCCGGGCCAGGTCGGACCGAACATTTCTGACTTGGATTTTGTAAAGAAAATACAGTAAAAATGCTTCACTATAAGGGCGCAGATTTCTTTAAATGCGATACACCTGGACATTATAAATTGGTGTATAGGTAGATATAACACTAATCTATAGATTTAATCACATTTGAAGTTACATCTGTGTGTTTAAAGTTGATTTTGACCGCCCGGGCCAAGTCGGACCCAACACAAGCCAAACACTTCTGATAGAGACTATGTTGAGAATGTAGAGGGAAAAGGGCTTCACTTTCGAGCCCCTTGTTGTCTATAAATACTGCAATCTGTGACATTATAAAGTGGTGTATAGGTAGATATAATACTAATCTATAGATGTGAATCCATTTGATGATACATCTGTGAGGTTTAAGTTGATTTTAACAGCCCGGGCCAGGTCGGACCGAACATTTCTGACTTGGATTTTGTAAAGAAAATACAGTAAAAATGCTTCACTTTAAGGGCGCAGATTTCTTTAAATGCGATACACCTGGACATTATAAATTGGTGTATAGGTAGATATAACACTAATCTATAGATTTAATCACATTTGAAGTTACATCTGTGTGTTTAAAGTTGATTTTGACCGCCCGGGCCAAGTCGGACCCAACACAAGCCAAACACTTCTGATAGAGACTATGTTGAGAATGTAGAGGGAAAAGGGCTTCACTTTCGAGCCCCTTGTTGTCTATAAATACTGCAATCTGTGACATTATAAAGTGGTGTATAGGTAGATATAATACTAATCTATAGATGTGAATCCACTTGATGATACATCTGTGAGGTTTAAGTTGATTTTAACAGCCCGGGCCAGGTCGGACCGAACATTTCTGACTTGGATTTTGTAAAGAAAATACAGTAAAAATGCTTCACTTTAAGGGCGCAGATTTCTTTAAATGCGATACACCTGGACATTATAAATTGGTGTATAGGTAGATATAACACTAATCTATAGATTTAATCACATTTGAAGTTACATCTGTGTGTTTAAAGTTGATTTTGACCGCCCGGGCCAAGTCGGACCCAACACAAGCCAAACACTTCTGATAGAGACTATGTTGAGAATGTAGAGGGAAAAGGGCTTCACTTTCGAGCCCCTTGTTGTCTATAAATACTGCAATCTCTGACATTATAAAGTGGTGTATAGGTAGATATAACACTAATCTATAGATTTAATCACATTTGAAGTTACATCTGTGTGTTTAAAGTTGATTTTGACCGCCCGGGCCAAGTCGGACCCAACACAAGCCAAACACTTCTGATAGAGACTATGTTGAGAATGTAGAGGGAAAAGGGCTTCACTTTCGAGCCCCTTGTTGTCTATAAATACTGCAATCTGTGACATTATAAAGTGGTGTATAGGTAGATATAATACTAATCTATAGATGTGAATCCATTTGATGATACATCTGTGAGGTTTAAGTTGATTTTAACAGCCCGGGCCAGGTCGGACCGAACATTTCTGACTTGGATTTTGTAAAGAAAATACAGTAAAAATGCTTCACTTTAAGGGCGCAGATTTCTTTAAATGCGATACACCTGGACATTATAAATTGGTGTATAGGTAGATATAACACTAATCTATAGATTTAATCACATTTGAAGTTACATCTGTGTGTTTAAAGTTGATTTTGACCGCCCGGGCCAAGTCGGACCCAACACAAGCCAAACACTTCTGATAGAGACTATGTTGAGAATGTAGAGGGAAAAGGGCTTCACTTTCGAGCCCCTTGTTGTCTATAAATACTGCAATCTCTGACATTATAAAGTGGTGTATAGGTAGATATAATACTAATCTATAGATGTGAATCCACTTGATGATACATCTGTGAGGTTTAAGTTGATTTTAACAGCCCGGGCCAGGTCGGACCGAACATTTCTGACTTGGATTTTTTAAAGAAAATACAGTAAAAATGCTTCACTTTAAGGGCGCAGATTTCTTTAAATGCGATACACCTGGACATTATAAATTGGTGTATAGGTAGATATAACACTAATCTATAGATTTAATCACATTTGAAGTTACATCTGTGTGTTTAAAGTTGATTTTGACCGCCCGGGCCAAGTCGGACCCAACACAAGCCAAACACTTCTGATAGAGACTATCTTGAGAATGTAGAGGGGAAAGGGCTTCACTTTGAGTTCTGTGTTTTCTTTAACTACTGAAATATGAGACAATAAAGTGGTAAATAATTAGATAAAATACTAGTCTTTAGATATAAATAATGTTAGGAACTTTAGAAGTGCTTGGACAGTTATTAACACGTGTCGTGTCAGTCTTTTGACATTCGAGAATATCCATTTCCAGAAAACATCCTGTGTTGGTTTAACACGAATTAGTAAAGGTTAATTACCTAAACACGTTAATTAATGAAAGAAGAGTAGTCAAAACACTGTCGTTTCCTGCCCAGGACATCACACCCCTACACGCTAAGGTCGGTGAGAAGCATTCTAATCAAAGAATACACAGTCAAGACGCTGACTTTTCTACGAGACTCACGGTATGTAGTCATAATCATCAGTTAATTACATTGTTGAAGGTGCATTTTTATTCAAACTCAATTAAATGAGCAAAACTATATATACGTTTGTGGACATTTGAGATCTGCCTAGATATGCGCGTTTCGTTTTATTATTCTGCAATCCATTTTTAGTATTACCCGCTGGCCCGGCCCGGCCCGACTTTTCTTGGCCCGACTTTTAGGCAATCCCATGATGGGCACACATTCTGATACAAGGCATTATGTATTTCAGCTGTGAACGCCACCACGCCCACTCCCAGCAGTACAGGTAAGTTCATTCTTCAATGATACAATGATGCTTCATAATCCTTGCATGCAACTTTACACCTGCGTATAAAGTAAATATCAGTAAATATTTAATTCATTCTTCATATAATTGTTTTCTGTTCCAGCGACATGCACAGCAACCTTGTCGTCATTATCTGGCAGCTTCATGAGCGCCCCAGGTGACGGCAGCAACTACTTGGACAACACCCGGTGCTACTACACCTTCACAGCGACATCCTACCCGAGAACCATTACCTTCACCTTCACAACCTTCCAGCTGGAGAGTCATTCCTTCTGCGGATATGACTACCTCCAGTTTAACAGCGGCTTGAAGAAATGTGGAACTATCTCCAATCTCGTGTGTAAGTACTTCAAGCAGCTTGGGAAATGATTTCAAGCTGAACTTCGATGATGTATTTTAGGTTTTAATATTCAGCATATGCATAGGTTTGCGAGATATAGATATTTGTTAATTGGGCAGGTATTTCTGAAGTACAGATACAGAAAAGACAACTTTTGCACAATATATTTGGTACGTTTTTGTTCAGTATACCTCAATAGTAGATTATTCAGTGTTATTAAGTGCAGAAGAGCTTTGTTCAACATTATTGTAACTCTAAATTAAATTGACCGAAATGATCTGGCCCCACTCAACACCTCAATATACATCATGCATTGGTGTTCGCGTTGTATCCTGGGTGTGTGTTTGTCTCCAGATACTGACACGATGAACGGCCAGTATCGTGTCACCTTCTACACTGACGGATCAGTCACACGCCGTGGCTTCGTGGCCTTCTACCAGATCAGCGACGGTAGGTATTAATGGTTGATTCTCATCACACACAATCGTACAATAATCCTGCAAGCACCTCTGTGTAACTCCGTGTATCTACACTTCGTCCTTTTGTTCATCTATCATGATTTAAAGCCATTTGACATTTGACATCAACGAATTTGATGCTTTCCTGCCCCGCGAGCCTCACCTATTTTAAAATTTGAATTTACCAACACATGAAGGATGTTGAGCATTCACGACATATTCTGATTTATTCTGTTAAAAATTAGTTCTGTAACAATAAGATCGTTGATATTTTGCATGGATCATCCCAGTCATGGCATCTATCAACTTTGCTCACTGAATTTATTATGATCCGTAATTAAACATACCACGTATGTGTTTTGGAATGTTCACGTTTTGCCCCTGTGGTAAACATTGAGCTCCCCACGCCCCAGTAGATCCCGTTGAAATCAGTGCTCTCCCCACCCTGATAATGTCCTGCTCCCCACACCCCAGTAGATCTCGTTTAAATCAGTGATCCGCCCACCCGGATAATGTCCTCCTTCCCACACCCACTAGATCTCTTTGAAATCAGTTCTCTCCAAATCCCGAATATGTCCTCCTCCCCACGCCCCAGTAGATCTCGTTTAAATCAGTGATCCGCCCACCCCGATAATGTCCTCCTTCCCACACCCACTAGATCTCGTTGAAATCAGTGCTCTCCTCACCCCGATAATGTCCTGCTTCCCACACCAAGAAGATCTTGTTAAAAACAGTGCTCTCCCCATCCCGATACTGTCCTTCTTCCCACACCCCAGTAGATCTCGTTTAAATCAGTGCTCTCCCCATCCCGATAATGTCCTGCCTCCATCGCCCCAGAAGATCTCGTTGAAATCAGTGCACCCCCAATTCCGTTGATGTCCTGCCCCCCACACCCCAGTAGATCTCGTTGAAATCAGTGCTCTACCCAACCCGATAATGCCCTGCTTGCCACATCCCATTAGATCTCGTTGAAATCAGTGCTCTCCACACCCTGATAATGTCCTGCTTCCCACACCCCAGTAGATCTCGTTGAAATCAGTGCTCTCCACACCCCGATAATGTCCTTCCCACACCCAGTAGATCTCGTTGAAATCAGTGCTCTCCCTAACCCGATAATGTCCTTCTTCCCACACCCCAGTAGATCTCGTTGAAATCTGTGCACCCTCCACCCCGTTAATGTCCTGCTTCCCACAACCCAGTAGATCTCGTTGAAATCAGTGCTCAACCCACTCTGATAATGTCCTGCTACACACATTTCAGTAGATCCCGTTGAAATCTGTGCTGTCCACACCCCGATAGTGTCCTGCTCCCCACATCCCACTAGATCCCGTTGAAATCAGTGCTCTCACCACCACGATAATATCCTGCCTCCCACACCCAGTAGATCTCGTTGAAATCAGTGCTCTCCACACCCCGATAATGTCCTGCTTCCCACACCCCAGGATATCTCGTTCAAATCAGTGCTCTCCCCACCCCGATAATGTCCTCCTTCCCACGCTCCAGAAGATAACGTTGAATTCAGTGCTTTCCACACCCCGATATTGTCCTGCTCCCCACATCCCACTAGATCCCGTTGAAATCAGTGCTCCCACCACCACGATAATGTCCTGCCTCCCACACCCAGTAGATCTCGTTGAAATCAGTGCTCTCCTCACCCCGATAATGTCCTGCTTCCCACACCCCAGGATATCTCGTTCAAATCAGTGCTCTCCCCACCCCGATAATGTCCTCCTTCACACGCTCCAGAAGATAACGTTGAAATCAGTGCTCTCCTCACCCTGATAATGTCCTGCTTCCCACACCCCAGGATATCTCGTTGAAATTAGTGCTCCCCCCACCCCGATAATGTCCTGCTTCCCTCACCCCAGTAGATCTCGTTAAAATCAGTGCTCTCCCCACCCCGATAATGTTCTGCTTCCCACACCCAAGTATATCCCGTTGAAATCAGTGCTCTCCTCATCCCCATAATGTCCTGCTTGCCAAACCCAGTAGATGTTGTTGAAATCAGTGCTCTCCCCACCCCCAATGATGTGCTCAGATGTCCTCAAACACAACTTCAAACCCCATTTGGCTGGCGTCAAACAACGGTGAGTGATTAACCCTGCTCATCGTTCAACCTTCAACAGTAGTTTTAGATCATTTCATCCGAAGGGTCATGCCAGCTAACGCTGTGTAACGTCGTCAACTGTATTAAGCTGTTTTCCCGGTAACATATAATTGTATCCAAAGAAGCATATTTTGATGCTTTAACTGTGTCATCAATGCTATTCCAATCGAAGGGTTACATTTTAATTCCTTATGAAATTGGATATGAAAGGAGTTGCTCAGTGTATCGCTCCCTCAATCTGGTTTCACATATTAGGTTTCTGTGCGTTTAAATTGATCTTTTAAGACGTAATATTCAGTTTACCTAGGATATATACAGTGCTCTCTCCACCACGATAGTGTCCTGCTTCTCACGCCCCTGTAGATCTCGTTGAAATCAGCGCTTCCCCCATTCCGACAATGTCCTCCTTCCCACACCCAGTAGATCTCGTTGAAATCAGTGCTCTCCCCACCCCGATAATGTCCTGCTTCCCACACCCCAGTAGATCTCGTTGAAATCAGTGCTCTCCTCACCCTGATAATGTCCTGCTTCCCTCACCCCAGTAGATCTCGTTAAAATCAGTGCTCTCCACACCCCGATAATGTCCTACCTCCCACATCCGAGTAGATCTCGTTGAAATCAGTGCTCTCCCCACCCCGATAATGTCCTGCTTCCCACGCCCCAGTAGATCTCATTGAAATCAGCGCTTCCCCCACCCCGATAATGTCCTGCTTTCCACAGCCCATTAGATCTCGTTGAAATCAGTGCTCTCCCCACCCCGATAATGTCCTTCTTCCCACGCCCCAGTAGATCTCGTTGAAATAAGTGCTCTCCTCACCCCGATAATGTCCTGCTTCCCACACCCAAGTATGTCCCGTTGAAATCAGTGCTCTCCTCACCCCCATAATGTCCTGCTTGCCAAACCCAGTAGATGTTGTTGAAATCAGTGCTCTCCCCACCCCCAATGATGTGCTCAAATGTCCTCAAGTCGTCCCCTTCGGATCGTAGTGTTTGCCATGTCTGTAGATTTTTTGGAATATAGGAAAATGATTGGACCTCTCGTCGTGGGCAATGTTGGGCTAAAAGTAAATCTGAAGACGTTTTGGGGGGAGAAATATAAGCATGAGTCTCACTCTTAGTCGTTAATTTCTTGAGTTGCTACAAGACAAACGATGTAATAAAAATGTTATCTTTGAGTGTCTCTCTATTTCTGTATTCAGCGTGTACTTGTTCATGAATTAGACTTATTATTATTTAGCCTTCTTAGTATATAAACATATCTGAAATAATGTTACGATTCGTCTCCAAAACTGCACAAGGTCCTAATTTGTGACGCCAGTATTATATAACATGTGCAGTGAAGTATATGTTGAGTAGTACTTTAGATATATTTATTACAGATATAAAACGTCAACGCCAAAGAACAACTAGTCACGACTATCTAACTTTTTTCATTTCAATTGTAGCGAGTGACGTGCAAAACACAACTTCAAACCCCATTGGGCTGGCGTCAAACAACGGTGAGTGATGTACATGTACTTCAATATTAACCCTGCTCATCGTTCAACCTTCAACAGTAGTTTTATATCATTTCATCCGAAGGGTCATGCCAGCTAACGCTGTGTAACGTCGTCAACTGTATTAAGCTGTTTTCCCGGTAACATATAATTGTATCCCAAGGAGCATATTTTGATGCTTTAACTGTGTCATCAATGCAATTCCAATCAAAGGGTTACATTTTAATTCCTTATGAAATTGGATATGAAAGGAGTTGCTCAGTGTATCGCTCCCTCAATCTGGTTTCACAAATTAGGTTTCTGTGCGTTTGAATTGATCTTTTAAGACGTAAAATTCAGTTTACGTAGGATATATACAGTGCTCTCTCCACCACGATAGTGTCCTGCTTCCCACGTCCCTGTAGATCTCGTTGAAATCAGTGCTCTCCCCACCCCGATAATGTCCTGCCTCCCACATCCAAGTAGATCTCGTTGAAATCAGTGCCCTCCCCACCCCGATAATGTCCTGCTTCCCATGCCCCAGTAGATCTCGTTGAAATCAGTGCTCCCCCCCACCCCCCCCCCCCCCCACCCCCCACCCCCACCACCCCGATAATGTCCTTCCTCCCACACCCCGGTAGATCTAGTTAAACTCTGTGCTCCCCCCACCCCGATAATGTCCTGCTTCCCTGACCCCAGTAGATCTCGTTGAAATCAGTGCTCTCCTCACCCTGATAATGTCCTGCTTCCCTGACCCCAGTAGATCTCGTTGAAATCAGTGCTCTCCCCACGCCGATAATGTCCTGCCTCCCACACCTGAGTAGATCTCGTTGAAATCAGTGCTCTCCCCACGCCGATAATGTCCTGCCTCCCACATCCGAGTAGATCTCGTTGAAATCAGTGCTCTCCCCACCCCGATAATGTCCTGCTTCCCACGCCCCAGTAGATCTCATTGAAATCAGCGCTTCCCCCACCCCGATAATGTCCTGCTTGCCACACCCAGGAGATCTCGTTGAAATCAGTGTTTCCCCCACCCCGATAATGTCCTGCCTCCCACATCCAAGTAGATCTCATTGAAATCAGTGCTCTCACAACCCCGATAATGTCCTGCTTCCCATGCCTCAGTAGATCTCGTTGAAATCAGTGCTCCCCCCACCCCGATAATGTCCTGCTTCCCACACCCCAGTAGATCTCGTTGAAATCAGCGCTTCCCTCACCCCGATAATGTCCTCCGTCCCACATCCAGTAGATCTCATTGAAATCAGCGCTTCCCCCACCCCGATAATGTCCTGCTTGCCACACCCAGGAGATCTCGTTGAAATCAGTGTTTCCCCCACCCCGATAATGTCCTGCCTCCCACATCCAAGTAGATCTCATTGAAATCAGTGCTCTCACAACCCCGATAATGTCCTGCTTCCCATGCCTCAGTTGATCTCGTTGAAATCAGTGCTCCCCCCACCCCGATAATGTCCTGCTTCCCACATCCAAGTAGATCTCGTTGAAATCAGCGCTCTCCTCACCCTGATAATGTCCTGCTTCCCTCACCCCCGTAGATCTCGTTGAAATCAGTGCTCTCCCCACCCCGATAATGTCCTGCCTCCCACATCCGAGTAGATCTCGTTGAAATCAGTGCTCTCCCCACCCCGATAATTTCCTACTTCCCACACCCCAGTAGATCTCATTGAAATCAGCGCTTCCCCCACCCCGATAATGTCCTGCTTTCCACAGCCCAGTAGATCTCGTTGAAATCAGTGCTCTCCCCACCCCGATAATGTCATGCTTCCCACATCCAAGTAGATCTCGTTGAAATCAGTGCTCCCCCCACCCCGATAATGTCCTGCTTCCAACACCCCAGTAGATCTCGTTGAAATCAGTGCTCTCCCCACCCCGATAATGTCTTGCCTCCCACGCCCCAGTAGATCTCGTTGAATTCTGTGCTCTCCCCACCCCGATAATGTCCTGCTTCCCACACCCAAGTATATCCCGTTGAAATCAGTGCTCTCATCACCCCCATAATGTCCTGCTTGCCAAACCCAGTAGATGTTGTTGAAATCAGTGCTCTCCCCACCCCCAATGATGTGCTCAAATGTCCTGAGGTCGTCGTCCCCTTCGGATCGTAGTGTTTGCCATGTCTGTAGATTTTTTGGAATATAGGAAAATGATTGGACCTCTCGTCGTGGGCAATGTTGGGCTAAAAGTAAATCTGAAGACGTTTTGGGGGGAGAAATATAAGCATGAGTCTCACTCTTAGTCGTTAATTTCTTGAGTTGCTACTAGACAAACGATGTAATAAAAATATTATCTTTGAGTGTCTCTCTATTTCTGTATTCAGCGTGTACTTGTTCATGAATTAGACTTATTATTATTTAGCCTTCTTAGTATATAAACATATCTGAAATAATGTTACGATTCGTCTCCAAAACTGCACAAGGTCCTAATTTGTGACGCCAGTATTATATAACATGTGCAGTGAAGTATATGTTGAGTAGTACTTTAGATATATTTATTACAGATATAAAACGTCAACGCCAGAGAACAACTAGTCACGACTATCTAACTTTTTTCATTTCAATTCTAGCGAGTGACGTGCAAAACACAACTTCAAACCCCATTGGGCTGGCGTCAAACAACGGTGAGTGATGTACATGTACTTCAATATTAACCCTGCTCATCGTTCAAACTTCAACAGTAGTTTTATATCATTTCATCCGAAGGGTCATGCCAGCTAACGCTGTGTAACGTCGTCAACTGTATTAAGCTGTTTTCCCGGTAACATATAATTGTATCCAAAGAAGCATATTTTGATGCTTTAACTGTGTCATCAATGCAATTCCAATCGAAGGGTTACATTTTAATTCCTTATGAAATTGGATATGAAAGGAGTTGCTCAGTGTATCGCTCCCTCAATCTGATTTCACATATTAGGTTTCTGTGCGTTTGAATTGATCTTTTTAGACGTAATATTCAGTTTACGTAGGATATATATACAGTGTGGACGCAAAAGGGTTGAAATCAGTCTCGTATGCGGCATAACAATGGCCCAATACAATGTACAGCAATATATTAATTTCATTTGTCTGTAGTAATTATGACCATTTTCCTCTCGACTCGAAATAAAGTACCTTTTCAAAATGAAGAAGAGCTTGTGAGATATTTAATTTTAAAAACTATGAATATTGCAGTGTTCACATGACAAAGTTACGATGTATGAAAAATAGATAAAGGTTCTCTCTAAAGCTGCTATTGTGCCAAACTTCAAAACGGCTTTCTATCCAGGTGCCTGTGGCACAACGCTGACATCTTCAACGGGGCGCATCTACTACCCAACTACCGCCAGTTACACCAACAACGTCCGTTGCCAGGTGACTATCAGACCTGGGGCTGGACAGACATTCAACGTCACCTTCACAGACTTCGACCTCGAGTATCAATCTTCCTGCAACTACGACTCTCTACAGTTCCAGATGTACGGGGTCACCTCTACGAAGAACTGCGGTCGCAACAGAGCAGGTCTCACTCTGAGCTGTACGTACTTCGCTTCTGAGAACGGAAAAGTTTTTAAAAGACCATTATTGTCAAACGTGCCTAAAATGTGATGTTGATGATTAAATATATCAGTCCTTGAATGTGAAAGTTGCCTAGTTAACTTCTACAGTAAGCATGTCTCAAACTGTTGCAGTCCCCTACACCAGCGGTGACATCGTGGTGAATTTCAGGAGTGATGGCAGCGTCACAGGAAGAGGCTTTGATCTCAACTATCAAGTGACCTAGGGTGAGGCGATTGGGTGCAGATGTGCATGTATATATAGTGACGGAAAAACGTAACCGTGCTTCATATAAAGTTTAATAAAAACAGATTTATTTTAAAATTAAATAATACATCTTTCAAATTATACATATTCATAAAGACATCTCCTCGACTTTAAAGTCGTGATTAACAATTTTCATGTGTCAATGTACGGCGCACAATTTGGATGTTTGCGTGATGTTGTGAGTATTCATTCACGCGGTGTTTGAAAGTGAACAGCACACCATGATTTTTTAGCAATCAGGTGTCCATATACAATCTTTTGTTTAACTAACGCCTACGCAATGCCACGACTTGTTGAAAAGCAATCTTCGCGTCTGGGTATGCTGCAAACAGAAATGTCGCAAAACGAAGTTGCAATACTGCAATGTTCATCAAAACATAATATCACCTCTTTGAAGACGTTATCTACAGCAGGGCAACACTCATGACTTGCCACGGACCTGCGGTCCATGTGTGACGTTACGGCAACCGTATTCGGTTGGTACATCTACAGAATCGATATCAAACTGCCACAAACTGCCATAAACTGCCACATTAACAGCTCGGACATTTACTGGGTTGAGATCAATTAGTTACAGAACAATAACTGCATCCGGCGCCGACGTCCAGCGATACGCCATATTTCCACGTCACCGTCAGGAACACATGGCTCAGTGTAGACATAATCTGAGGTTCAGGGGACGAGACTGGGACAGTATACTGTTGAGAGACAGGTCCAAGTTTCATGTTCTACCCTTTGTACCAAAGCAGGGACGTAACGTCACGATGCAGCAGGATCATTACTGCCCACATGTTGCACGTCTTGAAACAGATTTTTTGAGGCAGCATGCATTACATTGCTATTGACAGTTTTTACGTAGGTAGTGTTAAGACCGAATGTTTGCGAGGATTGATAAGATTTCTGAATTCAGTTACAACAGTAACCGCACATGTATTTGTTACATTAAGTCATTTCATTCAAATTTGTTTGGTATGATTATGTCTTATAATTATTTTAGCATGGAAGGTACAGTTACCAAATATAATAAGCTGAAATATCAATTCATTATGACCATATTTCCTAATCTTTTTTTAAAGTAACCCTCCTTACATTTAAGACAACTATTTTAAGAATATAGTACCTAAAGACATTGCAACAAACCGAATAATCAGGGGGGAGACTGAGGGAGGCGCGAAATATATCCAGGGAAGAATCTGTACCGGTATAGTGGTCACACCCGATATTGACATTGTTAGTTGAGTTGTTACACCACCCCTTTGTTCGGGCCTGTCGCTTTGTCTCCCGTCACTAGGTATGGATTTGTTATAATAAAACATTGATCAGAAGAATGACCAAATAATACGTTTATTATTTTCAATAACATAACATTTACACAACTTTATGTGAAGCACGGTTACTTTTTTTCGTTAAAAACGTCACTATTTGGAAAAGATTCGTACAGTCATAGACCGAGTTTAATGCGCGCAACGACTAACACTTTTTCTATTACATCGTCAAGCGGAACATTTATTGTAGTAGTTTTTACCGGCTCCTTAAATATGAGTAAGGTGCAGTTAGACATACCTTGAGTATCAGCAGTGACCCTAAATTTATACACCCTCTCTATAATATTTAAACATTTACGTTTTAGTGTTACATTTCCTCACTATATATCAATGAATAAACCCATTTTCAGGACAAGCATGCCTTTCCTGCCTGATGTCTGTATCTGCTGAAGCCCTGTCTTACTTGACCATTGATGAGACGAGTCAGCCATCCAATGTAGACACCATTAACACCTGTCTGGTGGCATATTTCACATGGAAATAATTAATATTTAATCAGAAATCCATATATCGATAGTGCCTGAAGCTTAGTTTTGTCACAGTTATTGTTTTATCCATGCATGTTTACTGTTGTTTTTCTTCTTTTTGATAGTTAATGTTTTGTCTTTGATTTATTGTAGCACAAGTGTTTTCACTTTGTTTTAGTATGTATATTGTTAGGATATTTGTAGTATACTTTTTGTGTTTGTTTTACTATCTCTTAAAAAATATTTCACATAAAGGATTCCCATGCATATCCCTTTGTTACCCAACTTACATTTTGCATTATGCACTGTGTAATAATTAGGCAGTGATTTGATATATTGTTTAGTTTAGAATTTTATCGAGTTATCACCTGTGTAATGAATCCCATTATATGTTCCATAGCACAGAACATATAAATAGAGATTACGATACGGGTATGAATATCGAATGACGTCAACATTCTTCAGCTATGGCGTCATATCTATTGTGACGTCATTACCACCTTACGTCACAATGAGATCAAATGATTCCGGACGACGTAAACAATACACCGGCGTGTGTGAAGTGATATTTGCCCAATTAACTTGGTTACCTATTACTCTATGGATAATAAATAGTATAGTTATAGGTGCAACCACACGCGCACACAATGATAAGGAGGGAGAGACATGCAAAATGCTTAAGTATCCTGGGAGATAATGGTAACGCCAACATTCCCCTCCACATTCAATTGGACATTTTTTCACTTTATTTTAGTCTCAAATCAATACAATGTTTTCGCAAATGACCAGCTGTAAACACTGGAGATCTTTGCATCCTATACATTTTAGGATTCTTATATTCTGCTTTTGAAGTGCTGTACTGTACGTCTATTTCCTTGTTGTGAGCAACATCTTAGTTTATACTATTGTTAGTTAATACGACTAAACGTTTTGTCATGCACGCTTTAGAAATAAAATTGCAAGAATTAAATGCAATTATATTTATTTGTTATCAATAGATGTTACATTTGTCCATAATAATTATGGAATACAACATGGTGCACGTCACGTTACCACCAACGGAAGCTCAAGATCTTGGCAAAGATATGGTTCATGTTATGAGAAATATTATCCAAAGACATACGCTCATGATGTTAAGTCTGTTGACGTTTCGATTTCAATTTCATTCACAAAGCCAATGTCTCACATTTGTATCACTGTCGAAAGAACAGCACACGAATAAATTGCAGAAACACCGGGTGCACGAGTGTGCATGATGTGTAAACAGATACTTCAAATTTGGAGAAAAAAAACAGGATTCGTATGTCATCGTATCCCAATTGCTTTGATCGATACACATGATGCCAATCACCTGACTGTCTGTTCCAGACTCGATTATTTACAGACCGCCGTCATATAGTTGTAACGCTGCTGTGGTGTTAAACAAAAAACAAACAAAACAATTTAAGTTTGCCAACAAGGGCATTGATTTTATCATTTTAGGCAATATTTTCAGAAACAAACGTGATTTAGGTACTATCTCAACGTTATTTTCAAAATCAAGATGCACTAATTTTATCAAGACCATTGCATGTAATTTTTTTAAGTACAAAAAAGCCCTGCATTCGGTGGCACTTCCAGAAAATATGATTGCCAAACTCCTGCTTTGATAATCTCTGGATAATTGATAATGTTTCCCTTCCACATTTGTGACTAATGTCACGGTGCTTAACTAGCGATTGCGCAAATTCTTGGGAAATTCTGTCTTAATACATGTAGATATGTACAGGTTCATTTTTCATAAACCTAAAATGCTGACATTGACTTTTATCTAATTCATGTTATAAATGTAGTTTAGTTCATGTTAGACTTTCTTGTCACCGTCAACACTTGAAACAATCATCTTATTGAAAGAAAAAAGTCACTATATAATGTCCATCAAATGATATTACAGATAAATACCATTATTTGTTTAATTGTGTATATTTCAATGATAGGACGAACTGTGTGAGGGTCCACTCATTTACGAGCACAATATTAATAGTCAGGGAGAGAATCGTGTCTGTCGATCGATATACTGCCTAATAATTGTCTGTTGGAGATAGGGATAGATTCAACTCTCTCTCCGTGTGTGTGTGTGTGTGTGTGTGTGTGTGTGCGTGCGCGCGTGCGTGCGTGTGTGTTTGCGTGTATGTGTTTGCGTGCGTGTGTGTTTGCGCGCGTGTGTTTGCGTGCGTGTGTGTTTGCGTGCGTGTGTGTTTGCGTGTGTGTGTTTGTACATCAACATTACCATCAACAACTATGTCTCACACATCCCAACTACCAGTGTTGGTTTACTTCTAGTCAAGATGTCATCTGGGATCACCCTACTATAACCATGTGTGTTTCAATAATATTGACGCTGAAATATGTAAATATGATTCTGATTTTGATATTGGTATAAAAGGAGATTTTAAAATGCCAGGCAAAGACATATGTGTGACTTTACGTGTGTAGAAAGAACACCAGTTCACTCCCAGAAGACATAGTAGGAGAATTAAGTGCTACAGAAGACATCTCATCATTAGGTATAGACACATCAAGACACTCACGAGATAATTGAAAAGCTAACAACCATGGATATATTTTTTTAGAATTTTGTAAAAACAATAACTTGTCCATCATCAATGGAATATGTGGAGAAGATAAATACCTCAGAAGAAATACCGTAAAGCTGTTAGCTTAATTGAGTATGATGTAGCAACTGCTTATAAATTTTGTAAGTAATTTCTATGTTCAAGACATCGATCCTATTCTGTCAGATGCTCATAGTGCTATACATCTAAACATAAACACTCGTCAGGACGATACTGTCTGTCAATTTAACACCTGACAGGTGCCAAAACAGAAATTCTATGAATACCAAAACTCGAAATAGATATGTGTACCCTACTCACACACATGAGTCCCATGACCGCCGCCTCACCAACGACCAGTGGACGTCCGATCTCCGGACTTAGTGTAAGTGACAGAGTCTGTCTCGGCACCCGGAAAATTGACCACTCGGTCCCGGTGTTCTATCTGTCACGTGATTACTATCATGTACCTTTTCGACCTATTTCACCCTGCAACAATAAACATGGCTGCTGTCCTCTACAATTCCACCCTGAGGTTTGTCTTTCGTCTCCACCCTGAACTACCATCCGAGGACGAAACGTATGCTCTTGTATAGTAACATATTACATACAGTTAGTACTTACAGTAATTATTTTTAAATATTGAAGTTTATGTTAGATATGTTAAGTTAAGGTATCATCGGACATCTTTAGGCTCTTTTTGGTGTGTGTTTTTCTCCTTATGTATCCTAATGTCCTGCACCATTTATCATAGAATCATAGAATGTATCTTCCTTTATCGACGCAAGTAATAAGAGAAGTAGTTGACTACACGATACCTACGACTTCCAATCGTATTTATACCGAACTTATAAGATGTTTCTTATAGGTTCTAAATCTGGCCACCTGATGTCGAATGAACCACGCTTGTCAAGATTTAGTGTTCGGAATCTGCTCCACAAACTGCTGGTCACAGACTTTCATCACGTTAATACCAACATACGCTGACCTGTACCAAACTGAAGCATACCTACAGGGGTTCAACATGTTTGTAGACCTGCCATTGGTCACTGGACTTCAACCGATGGTCAGCTGTATTCACCACAACCCCGGAATTATTTACCAATAAAAGTGTTGTTTAAGTGCGAAATGCTCCTTCACATGCGAAGGACCATCATGTGACGCAGTCTGCGTTAGGGAGGCGTTTAGTTAACATAAAGTGACCATATATTCTTAACGGTGTACATATGACATTCTCCCGAAGAGGCCATTTTATGGACAATACCATAACTTAACAATGTGTATATGTTACAGAAAATATGTATAATCAGGGAATAAGTGTATTCCCTGAAATTTTCAGGGAACATATGTCTGATTCACACAGGGAATATATATATACATAATCCCTAAATTTTTCAGGTATTATACATATTCCCTGATTTAACATCAAGTTTATGCAACTCAAGTCTGACATGTGTCAACAAAAACTAAATTGTTCTTGTTTGTTAAGTCATTTAACATCAAGTTTTTTAGGCATATTCCCTGAAATTACTTTTGAGGCTCTCATATGGTCAAACTTGATAAAAAAATCGAGATGACAAATTTATTAAGTGTAATCAAAATTGTTTGTTAAGTAGCATTTGATATGGCATTGTTTTGATTACAGTGAAGACTAATTGGTAAGTTAAGTGAAAGGTATTTGTGATCATGTCAAATATATGTGTCTTCTCATAAATAATTTGTGTTTTTTTATCAAGTTTGACCATATAACAGCCTCAAAAGTAATTTCAGGGAATATGCCTAAAAAACTTGATGTTAAATCAGGGAATATGTATAATACCTGAAACATTTAGGGATTATGTATTTTCCCTGTGTGAATCAGACATTAAATATATTCCCTGAAAATGTCAGGGATTATACATATTCCCTGTAACATATATAGAGGTGACAGATTATTTGACGCTGAAAATACTTAGGCGTCCCCTTAACTTGAAACAGGGTAGAGACACACTACGTCTATCCAGACAATCGAGAGTGAATGAGGACTCATCTGAAAACAGCAGAACATAAACCATCGGCGATTCCCTCAGTTACGTTGTGCTCAACACCAGTGGCGTCTGCCTAGAATGTGTCGACGGTGGTACAACATGTGGTCGTGGACCATGACGATTAGCTGCATGAAGAGAATTTCTAATCGTCTGGTCAGTAACCTGAACTCTAGCGAGTGAATAGCAAGTTGCATGGCTGTTTAGACGCGATTTCTTAACGCCTGATTTCGGATTAGTCGATCCTGAACTTGTGTTGTTGACGTTTGGGGCCCTGTCCGGGGCTGATCATTAACATTTTGTGTCACACTGAGACACATTAAACATACTGACTACCTCTCACTGAGGTCTACCAGTCCGAAGCATGCCAATAACCTTGGACGTTCATTACGAGAGGACGACGACACATTTCCAATCTGCTCATAAATAGAACATTGAAACAAAACGTGTCACTGAGAGTAATACATATCAACAATACGTATGGCTAATATCGATATGACGACGTCTTGTCTAAATCAACAATGGTCCCGTGCCCTCGTGCACAGAGGTTCACGTGCATTGTGTCGGGCATGTTGATGCATTTTGGTTCCGAAACCGTTCAATCTGTAACCGATCATACGATTTATATGCATGATACTCGACTTGTTTATGAGCACAAGTAAAAAATAAGTATAATCCAAAATACATCAATGTACAATGTCAGTGCGCAGCACAGAGATAATAGATTTCTAACACTTGATCCTATCTATAACTATCCATAACACGTCAAACTACTTGTAGAAGGGGTCGCTACACTTCATGAAATTAATTGGGGCATCATTGTCTTCAGAGAATATAACGTTTTATGTTCTATTATTGATCTTAAACGTTTGTACAAGCGTTTGTTCGATAGCGTCAATCTACATGTACAAACGTAGCTGGAAGATAAACTGTAGTTTAGTATTGTGACGCATTATGGTCGCAATAATGCAGATAATAAGATCACAAGTTCTTAACTGTTGCGTATCAGTCTTACCACCAAGTGTCAAGATTACCTCGCGGAACTCCCAACCTAGGACTTACTAACATATACTAACTAGCCCAAGAAAGAAACTGAAATCTTTTGTCCAGAGATCTTTCAGCTTCAAGGCAGTTCTCAGGAGTTCATCCTGCTAGAGTGAGTGAGTGAGTGAGTTGGGTTTAACGCCGCTTTTAACGGTATTCCACGGCTTGTCAGATTAAAAGCACGAAGTGATGCAGGTCCCAGACGTTTACCACTTCAGTGAAACCCACGAGCACGGGTATGGTGCTGACAAACCTAGAAACATAATCGGGGCGAACCGGGATTCGAACCCACAATCAAAGGTTTCTGGTGTGC